ATGGGGCTCAAGTGAAGCAATAATCATACATTGATGTATGGACAATTTGGTTCAGTGTAGACGAGTGCACGGATGGATTTTAGTTCACTCACTCGACAAAAAGTGACACAACAGCGGGGCCCTGCTTACTAAAAATGAACACATGAATAATGCACGCGCAACTTTTGAAAAGGGCCTATCATCTTTTGTAAACAACTTCCTAGGTCCTTTTCACGAGAACCGAAATACGCCCACGCAAACCAAGTGCACTATTGGGAAGGGGAGAATTTCCCCTACCCGATGGTGTTGTTAGTTTACGTGGGCGTAATCGGTTCGCACCAAAAGGGGCTAACAAGTTTTGTGTACAAAAGTTCATATATTACGCGAGTATTATTCATGTGTTCATTTTTAGTAAACAGGGCCCGCTGTTGTGTCACTTTTTGTCGAGTGAGTGAACTCAAATCCATCCGTGCACTCGTCTATTAGGTTCTGCAGCGTGACGTCACAAATGAACTCAGTGTTAAACGGCTGAACCTTTTTGACAGTTCAGTGGTACTGTTTACAAGCACTTAGTCGTTTTTTCGAAAAAAAAATTCTAAAGTTTCTGAATTTTAACTTGAAAATTGTCGAGGAACAGCGTGTTGCAAGGATGTTGCTCGTGAACATTGCAGAAATGCTGTGTACATCTCACTGCAGTCTGAAAAATTATCGAGAAAATCCACCCAAGAAAAAATCGACTAAGTCCACGTAAACAGTACCACTGAACTGTCATCAGATTGAGGTTAACCCCAACGGTGCAAAACCTAATTCTTACTACTCACAATCTCTCACAATAATTCACAAAATTGTTGAAACCCCGCCGAGAAAAAGCGGTGGATGCAACTCAGTGGGTAACATGTTCTTCGGGGGATAGCTGTAATTAAATTATGAGTAGCTTTCATGAGGGGATCATGGATTTTGTAAAATTGAAGTGCTGGAAGAAATATTCGAAACAGGTTGTTTCGAATCTTGTGGACCCGCATAAACGCGAACCATAAATTGACCTTACCTAAAAAGGTTAAAAATTGTTTATAATCCCTGCTAAACTTTAACTGAAATGGTTATGGAACTTTACATGAACGTTTAATGATAAAGTTTCAACCTTATGTATTATGGTTTTTTGGAACTGGACCTTACAAATAATGGGTTGTTAAGAACCATTACCATTCCAAATTCTTGTTTTCTCCATACATTTTCAGAAAGAGAACTATATAAGAACGTTTTTACTTATGATTTGAGAACATTAATGGTAATGGTTATGGTAGTCAGTAAGGTCCATTAATGGTTTTGTATTATCGCTCAACTTTACGTGGAATATATCGTGAATTGGTAATCAGTAAATTACAGGCAACCAATTCGCGATATATTCCACATAAAGTTGATCGATGTTACAAAACCATTCGTGGACCTTACTGACTACCATAACCATTACCATTAAAGTTCTCAAACCATAAGTTAAAAGGTTCTAATATAGTTCTCTTTCTGAAAATGTATGGAGAAAACAAGAATTTGGAACGGTAATGGTTCTTAACAACCCATTATTTGTAAGGTCCAGTTCCAAAAAACCATAATACATAAGGTTGAAACTTTATCATTAAACGTTCATGTAAAGTTCCATAACCATTTCAGTTAAAGTTTAGCAGGGATTATAAACAATTTTTAACCTTTTTAGGTAAGGTCAATTTATGGTTCGCGTTTATGCGGGGAGGGAAACGTAAAATTTTCCATTCGCGGCCGGTAACGTAGATGACTCTACAGCTGTTCTAACTGACGCTTTGAAAACGTGTACCAATCCTCGTACCAATCAATTAGTTGAGCAAAAGTTTGTTTGTTTCTTTGAAAAACTCGAACAGCTGGTAAAATTTGAACCTTTTGCGTCTTAAACGGAAAAGGGACAAATGGTACAAAACGCTCGACAAAACGTTTTGTAGATCAAATAGTGACAATTATTGGAATAGGTACACAATCGCGCGTAATAAATATTCACAATCAAAACAACAGCAAAGAGTTATGGAAAATTTTGAAATCATTATTATAACCTAGTAATTGCAAACCATGGTCCATAACTTTTAATGTCACGCTAGAACAGTCAGAACAAGTAATTGCATCTAAATTTAATGATCATTTTGTCGACAGTGTTTCATAGCTTAATCATTCCATGTCGATGAACCTGACGAAATAAAGCAGCTAGTTAATAGTAGATGTAGATTTGAAGGTTTCCATCCAATTACATTAGATGAATTATTTGCTTTATATTAGAAAAATTGGCTGAAGTAGATAATGTTAATGCTAGAGTTATTCAAGATTGCCTTCATGTCATTGGCCACATCTTGCTGGATCTTATTAATAAATTATTGCAGACTGGACATGTGCCGCACATTTGGAAGGAATCCTTACTGGTTCCTATTTAAAAAGTTGCTGGAACGATTAAAACCGAAGAGTTTCGTCCCATCAACATGTTGCACACTTTAGAAAACATTTTAGAACTTGTGGTTAAAGCTCGGGTTAAAGGCCAGCTGTTATCGAGAAGATCATTCTTGTGAAACTGCGTTGAATTTGGTATTAGCAAAGTGGAAAGATAAGTTGGAGCGTAAATATACGACTGTTGCTGTTTTTTTTATGTGGAACGCGCTTTTGAAACAATTTCTAGGCCCTTCTTGTTGAGTAAAATACTAGGGGCACCCCACTCTAAACTTTGTATTTTTCCTAATATACATATAAAAATCTTAGTGATATCTAAGATACCCAAAAATACTTAAAAATACTTAAGAAATATCTAGCGTTAGTTTATTTGCTTGGTTTCTATGTCAATTTGATTTGCTTGTTTATCCAATGTCAGGCGTTTTGTGTGGATATTGGTTAATTTGTTAAACAATTAGCAGTCGTTAGCAATTTGATTAGAAGCGTGAACAGCTATAAGTTTCCTGGACCATTTACGGTGTAATCTGTTCACCATGTACCAGAAAGAATTAATTCTGATAGGCATTGAAACCTTTTGTTGTTACTCGTTCGAGTTCCATGATTTGTGTAACCAATCTAATAGTGAATTTTGTGTTGTTCTTTTTTCGCTCGGTTCTTCGCTGTGTGACTATGACAATGCCTGATAAGAACATAATTGGATGTACGAAACCATGTGACCATACTATCACCCATATTCTCGTTTACGTCCGGACAGTATTTTAAACGAGAATATGGGTGTATTGCGGAAACGCAGATCTCGTAGCTTTCCACCGTCTAAACGCAGGACATGCTTATTACAGTAGATTATAAACCATAAAGGCCAGTATAAGCAACATAGTCAGAATTATTTAAATGAACGGGTTTAGTTTTCTTTATTTTCCTATGTATAATTTTAAAAATTATCAATACAGTAGTTAATTCAAAAGGAGAGTCAAAAGGGCCAAAACCTTCCGGTCAGAAACGAATCACGATCATTCCCATTCAACACCCGGTAGATCGACAAACTTTTCTTCCTGCATTTGCTCAGGCCTGCAACACGTTTTCACGGCTTCAGATCCTCGATACTGCAAAAACAAAATCGTAGTCAGATGATTCACTGCTAGGTAATTAACATGTTTAGAAATAAGGTGAATTCCGCCCTGAGCGATGTTTCACGCGCAAGGCGAGATTTTGCGAAGGTACGAGAGGGAAAGAGAGAGAGAGAGAGAGAAAAGTGCTAGTTATCTCTCTCATGCCATCGCAAATTTTGCTCCGGTCAGCTAATGCACGCATATATCTGAATATACCAATACTCATCATCTTTGTGCACCTAAATGTGAGCCAATACACACTTTGAGTTCAGTTGATCGGTAAATACCGTTAAACTTGTACTGAAAACATCACTATTTGTAACCAGCCCTTGAAGCATTTTTACAAGCTGAATCGCTGAAAAATATAACTTAAATAATACTAATTTATACTCATAATGAAAATACACTCCAATTTGTATAAAAACAAGACGACCGAAAACAACAAGTCAACAACAAACACATACACTAGCAACCGGTCATCAAAAAATAAGTGTTACTGCGATGGAAATTAATAGCCATGGTTTAAAATACTTAAAAATACCTATGAATACTTACGCGGGATTTACACATATTTTATTGATATTAGATATGAAGTTTAGAGTGGGATGCCCCTAGGTAAAATAAGTGCTTTGAAATTATGAGTACTGCATATACATGGTTTGACAGTTATTTATCTGAGAGAACTCGACGAACTTTTTTTTAAATTTATTTTTCCATTGCCGTTAGGAATAACTTTGGAGTGCCCCAGGAAAGTGTATTAGGACCCTTTTTATTTATTATGTATATTAACGACTTGCGACGAGTTTTACGATTTTGCGACATCAATCTTTTTGCAAATGATACTGTGTTATTCATTACAGCTAAGGATTTAGAAGTTTCCATTTCACATTTGAATGAAGATTTGCGATCTCTAAATAGATGGTCGAAGTGTAAGCAGTTGAAATTGAATACAAGTAAAACTAAATTCATTTTCGTTTTCATTTTCAAGCACAGAAGGGAGTCATAGGGCCAGGTATCCAGTGAAACATCACTGTCCATGCTGCACAAGGGTAGAGAGGAAGATTTGGCACCACAGAATAATAATCACAGGGATCAAGTGAATCCTGCTTAAGATGCCGGATAGGGAGGAATCTCGGGAGGAATAGTGTTTCAAGTAGGGGATAGTCGGAGTAACAGTAATAGTTGGAAAGTACCAACACCGGAGTTATTAAGATCCAGGAGTAAAAGGAAATAACTTATCTTCCTCGTAAGATGATTGCATTATATTGTCTGACGTACTTCGTACATTATTTTCAAAAAAAAAAAAATGTTTGGAACGAGAAGCCTAATGAATTGTTATTAATACAGAATATAAATATAACAGTCTTTTAATCAATTTAGTTTAATTGGTCATCATGACTGAATTTACTACTGTTGGAATTTTCGGCATAAATAACAAAAAAATCAGAATACTTATAGACATTGTGCAATATATACTAACTTGCAAAAAATACGCTAATAGATATGACTTTTCGCTATGTTGTAAACATTGTATATGAATAGACCTTCGTTTACTATTTTTACTGGATTTGTTTCGGTTTCACGTTTGTACATGTATAATCTCCTACAAACAGTAACACGCTATTTAGTAATGGTAAGTAGCTATAAAGTGAAAAAATTGGTATCAAGCTATTTAGCAACCTTCTAAACGACAATAATCATGTATATCTATAAAAAATATATAATATAACAAAATATTCTCTTACGTAGTCCTAGTGTAAAAGTTCCTGGAATAAGCAGTTCAATCGTCTAAGGCTAACTTTATCGTATTTGTTGCAGTAGGTTTCCATCACTGAACGACCAGCTCGGTTCGGTATAGATCGGCATCGATTACAACGTTGACGGCAAAGATCTCGAAGAATCCTAGGCCATAGGTGTAGAGATCGACGAACGGTACACTGTACAGATCGGCCAGTCGGGGTAGGGCGAAATGTTTCATGCCGTAGGACATAGCTAGACCGATGCCCCAGAAATTTTCGTTGCAAAATGAGATCCACGTTAGTATGGTTAAATTGATGATGGCTACCGAGGTCACTACGTATTCGCCTTTGTGTCGTTGGCTTAGTTCCGAATAGAAGCACCCGGCTAGGAATGGAACTAGTACGCTGATCAACAGGTAACTACAGGGTGTCAGGTGTGATCCATCGCCTAGTTCATATTTGAGGTAGAGTTGTGTGTTCAGGAGTGGAAGCGGAAGAACCATTGCCAAAAGAACGGATAGATCGTACAATTTACGCAGGTTCTTTTGCGGTTCCGGATGACTGTGGCGGAAGATTCCCAGCAAGCTATGACCGAGCAGGAAGACCAGCAGAATCAGCATGAGGGGTACTGGGTCATCGCTACTGGCGGAACGGCTATGCTCAAAACCGGTGGGAAGATGTTTCAGGGACCATCCGGTGACGCCGGCTAGGATCAGATGAGCCAAACAGGTCGGTATCGACGGCTGCGTGAATGTCATGGTGGGATGGAAAGAGTGTGATATTTTACGGAAGGAGTGTCGCTTTGCAGCAGTCGGTCGTTTTTGGATGCCGTTGCGGAACACCATTAGCGTTGGTGTTGGGCTAGAATGAATTGGTTTATAATAAGGTTCAATAGTATGTATATATTTTATTACACATTGCACAGAGGAGTAACTAAAGCAAACACCAAAAATTCTAAAAATGAAAATGTTCAAATTCCGGATGTGACCACTCGATATGATGAGTACTGTCTTACCTACCGACGCCAGGAAGGCAGCTCCCACACCTGGACCTTACCTATCGACCCATCAACTCATGAACCGGGGACCAACGGCTTTACTTCCCATCCGAAGGAAGGCGTGATCAGAGATGTTATGCCTCAGAAAATCCCAGCGGCGCCGACTGGGATTGAGCCCAGGCCTTTTGTGGTGAGAGGCAATCACGCTTACCACTACACTACCGGCGCCGCTGAGAATTCTTGGATGAACTACATGACGCTAAGGATTCAATTACCATCAAGTGCGACAACAAGAGTGTCATCAGTCTTGCTGAAAAAGAAATTGGTTATTCAGCAAGAACCAAACACATTGACATCAGGCATCATTTCATCCAGGAGCAAGTGGAACTGAAGTCAATCAAATTGGAACACGTTCCCTGTAATCTACAAGCTGCGGACATCCTCACTAAAGCACTACCTGGCGAGAAGTTAATTAAAACCCGAAAGCTATTGGGTATTGAAGAAATTCCGCTTAGGGGGGCATCCCTAATAAAAAATAACCATACACGAACGATAACCCAAATCATTGAACTATTCCACAAATGGTTTGGATGATACCCAGAACACGTCGTTAAGCAAATTAACCATACAATTTTTATTAGGGATGTTAACTTAGTAAGCGTTGTATGATAATCAATAAGGCCATTTTATCGCGAACCGAAGTCCGTAAAGGCAAACCTACATAATGAACAGGTAGGGGAAATTCTCCTCTACCCGTTTGTGGTTTAGGTTTGCGAATGATGGTTTCGGTTCGCGAGAAAATTGCCTTACAAAGTTTGTTTACAAAATGGAGTTAAGGCCATTTCAACTGTTGATTTTGAATTGATCAATTCTCTGCTACGACCCTAACTTGACTGGACAGACTTTTCTATCAGTTCCCAAGAAAAACATGTTGAAATTATTTCCGGGTACATAGCATCAATAATGTGGTCAGATAAACTCCTGACTTTCTTGTAAAATAGACTGTCCTTGCAAGTAAAGTGAACGCTTAGGCACAGACAAACAGACGTATCTCTTCATTTTGTATCTTCGTTCACGCATTTAACGGTTGATTTGAATATTATCAGTTCCGCGAACTACTCGCCGCAGCGCTGGCATCGGATCACTTTGACGTTTCTATACTTTCTATAGAACTTTTATGCAATATTGTTTGCGAGTTAGCGAGCAAGCTTGTTTTCCGCGAGAAGCCAGAGAGATGTCGTTACTGAGGACCTATGTTTTGAGATACTATTTTTCCAAGAAAAACCTTTTCAAAGTGTTACGTCTGTTTGTCTGTGGCTTAGGGCTTAGATTCAATTTTGGGCCTACTAACTACAACCTGGCTTTGCCTCTATTTTTCAAGTGGATTTTTTTTTCGCAAAATTTAATCTTTTCACTGCAGATGCCTTCCAAATGTATTTATCATTCGGTACGTACCGTAAGATTTGATAAAGAGTAACAAATATTTGAGATATAGTTAAAAATACAACACTGCTTCTTGACCCTAAACTCGGCCTACGGATTCTAAACTCGGCCCAACGCATTGAAACGCCATTGAATTCACTTCGGCCAATCGGATAAATATACAAATGGATTCTGTCGGAGCGCTTCATTTGGTTTTGAGAATAATAGGTGCAAACATTCATATAACGCGTTCTTATTGACTTTGTTCGGTAGCTTTTGATCTAAAATATCGTATCAAACGCATAATTGACTTGGTAACGCCGAAATCATGGATTTATTTGATGTTTTCTGCTCGATAGGCCCTAAATGAGCGATTAGGCCACAGTAGTTCTCTAGGGTTAATGGATGTTATGTCGGCCTAAATGCCCCTAATATGGACCCATACATAAATTCAGCAATCGACTAAATGTTCAATAGCGACCAAAAATATCCATTAGTTCCGTACCAATGACGCGTTCATCTAGATAAAATTGATAAATAGCAGATTTTTAGCGATGGGCCATAGATCCATAGGCCAACATTAGAGCCATTTTCCCTACTTGACATTTTTTCTGTTCAAATCAGAATAAAAACTCCGCGGAATCAGATCTTGGGTTCCATAATTTTCGGCACTTTACGGTACCACATATATTTTAGTTGAAAATTAGTTAACTTGTAGGATTGAAATGAAAATATGTAGAGTGATAAAATTATAAATTAATAAGTCATACAAATAATAATAATAAATTACATAATAATAAGTCATACAAAATAAAAATTATTAGTAACGAAAATTAGAAAATAAATATTTTACCCAGTGTACTCAGTACGGTGGGTACAATAAAACGCAGGTGGGTGTGATTTGAGACCACCTGTTATTGTTTACGACTGACCACAATAATTTAACATTATTTTGGATGATCCCATCTGATGAAGATACAATAATAATAACTTTAAAAAATAGCTTACCAATAGCCAGCCGCCTGTAAAACTCCAACCAATCGGGTTGTTGCGATATCGGGGGAAGAGGTGCCGAAATAAATGGAATGTTCGAAGTATCACATAACAGGTACTGCACGAACGAAAAAAAAAACCGCTGCTCGCTTGTCACCTTCTTCGTTTAATCCACCATAATTCTGTGACAATAAATGAGATCACCGGTTATTGTGCTTGCACATTATATTAATCGACAAATGAATTCATAATTACCGATCTACTAACATTTCCAACAGAATTATTCCACGATTCAACTGTTGCGCATTTGCTACGCAATGACAACAAAAAACATCACTGTTGTGAAAACAACAACAACATCAACAGCCACCCGCGAAGGGAGCTTTTTTGACAGCAGTTGTACCCACCTGAGGGCCAGTTCATACTGAGTGGGTATCGTTGATTTCCTTTGAGTTTTCTTTTTGACGGGTAGCCCGGCGAAGCAAGCGAGAAAACGGGAAGAACATAAAAATTCTGCAACGGTTTGTGATCGGCTGTTTACTTATTTTATTTTGTATTCGAAAAAGGTGAAGCAAAACATATTGGAACATCCACAAACCACTGAGAGAGAGACGGTAAGTACTATTTTGGTAGATAGGCCTAAATTTGATTCAGAAGAGGTGAGCAATTACAAGATTATTTCCCATCAAATTTAATTTTGTTTGGCATGCCTTATGTATATGTTCATGGTTTAAAAGCTCTATGCTCGATCGCTCAATGATAAAAGCCTAGCAACATATAACTTAAAGGCGAAAAGCTCACCTAATTTTTAAGAATAGCACAGACCTGACTGTTCTCGGAGCGAGATTTGAAGCCATTATTTGTTCGTGTTTTGGTTTTTAAATTCGTTGCATATAATCAAACGTCACATCTTACGTAGGTAAATATTGCGGTAGTTGTCGCAAAATTAGTCGAAAACCGCCGGAAAATATGCGCATATTGAATATCCGCTAGAATTTATTTTTATTTTGCTTCCCTTCTATGGTTAAAAAAAATTAAATTTGTTTAATTTCGCTTTAAAATTATTTGGATCAAATTGCTTGTCAAGATTCTTAACAATTACTATTAAAATTTCATAATAAATTGTGAGATATTTTATCAAAAATAACTTTTAATGAAATTTACAATATCAATGTTACCAAACCAACGGTCGCTTGATCTTCCGCTCTTGGCAACTCCTTTCGCTCGTTTTTTCAAAGAACAAGAGCAAAACTTCATTCGCGCCTCTCACTCTCTCCTATGACGTTTTGCTTTTTCTGTTGCTCTTCCGACGTTCGCCAAGAAGAGAGGTGGTTGACTGACGGCTTGCCGGGCCTGTGACGAGGTGATTAGAAGAGAGTGCGGAGCGTTTCGGTTGTTTATTCGCCAGGAAAATAACGAAAATTACTGTTGGAAACTGTTCCGGCGAGCTTTGCGACTAGCACGAGGTTTTACTAGTGGAAAATTTGTTGATGTTTTAGTTGTTAAATAGTGTATCTAGTGTGTCAAAAGTGCAAATTTAGGAGGAAATAGAATTGTATCAATTCAAGCTTCCGATAGTGTTTAAAATTCGACGGTTGGTGGCGGCGACGACGACAACGGGAAGGAATCCAAAATGTAAGTGCTTTGCGGTGCAGTCTGTTGTGTTGTGGCTGAATTTAAATGTCCGTTAGCGAGCAGCCCCGGGTGGCAGTAGATGAAGCAATGACTATTCATCGCATATTTGAACCACAAATAGAATGTGGAGCAAAATGGCCAGATATTTAGGTAGCATGACGTACATTTGTTTGCTTATTCGTTTTTGGTTAAGAACAGCGAATAAGTTTAATTCTAAAAACAAAAATTGTGAATTTCATCCCAAGCCGTAGTGGGACTAAAATGTATGCAGGTACTTGACATGTTTCTAATTCATCCATTGATCGGTGGATTTGATTTGACTTTAGTTGTTTTAGAGTTGAGGCCATTTCAATTGTTGGTCTTGTTTTTATGAAGGTTTTCGGTACAGTTAGTTCTTCTTTATCTTCATGTCGCTGGTAATATTGTCGAAAGTTATTGATCTAAACTCAATTCAGTTTAGTTTTACTTTTTTACACGATTTTCATATTTAGATTTTGTTCTCTTTTAGGATGAGTACCTACGGAAATTTAAATTGTAGATAATTGTAATTTATTTAGTTTACGATACCCTGTTGGTTGTACCCTTTATCAGGTCAAGGAAAATACAGCTACAGTGGTGGCCTTTAAATTAGCACAATAGAGAGCTGCACCGTCGGTTTAACCTCACATTTTTTGACATCTGGCAGTGGTTTGTTTACATGGACTTAGAAAAAAATTATTAAATGTTTCTTTTTTAGATTTTTTGGAGTGGAATATTTTTCGGATATCATATGTTTTAGTTCTTTATATTTAAAACCTAAAATCCACTTGAATAGCCTAAAAAGCATAGGTAAATAAACCACCACTGGATGTCAAACTGATGAATGCGGGTTCATCGCGTTCATTCGTGACGTCAGCGTGCAGCATCCTATAGGCCGATTTCCATACAAACTAACCAAATTTGGCATGTTGCAACTAGATAGGGTCTAGTATAAGAGAGGAGCGGACTAACTGGTTTTGAGCCAAATGAACTGTCAAAGCCAGAGCCATTCGAGCATCGCCTATCTCAGGGAGCTGGCAACCATATATCAATTCTATATGGGGCTGTTCATTAACTACGTAGACAGTTTTTAATTCTTGACCCCCCCCCCCCCCCCCGTCCCCTGCGTAGACAATTGTACATACAAAAAAATGTATGCGCCGTGGCTAATTGTCAATCAATTGTAGTTCGGTGCGAGGGGGACGACTCTATCTACGATGCAGAAAAGATTGTGTTCTGCTGTGGCTAGCTTCACGCACGCTGAGTAGATAGAAGGAAGATATATGTCAATTTTGAAGATTTCCTGCAAAAAGTTGAAGCACGATGCAAGTAGATGCGAGAAATTAAAGATGATTTTTCGAAGATTGATTCGCTAGTGTGAGATTTTTTGAGCATCTAGAATTGAGATTTAGATGTGTCGCCCGCCTCGGTTCGGTGTCAAAATTTCAGCTCAATTGATCATAACAAAACAGAGTTGCAACATGCCAAAGTTGGCTAGTTTGTATGAACATCGGCCTATTGTGCTAATTTAAATGCCACCACTGTATTTGTCTTTCATTTTTTTAAAACAAGTTGCACTAAATTTTGTTGGAATTTGAGATCACACAATCAAACATACAGGCAACGAAATTATTGCGTTAAGAAAGGATTGAGTTTATTTTGCGTTATTACACTACATTTACGGTATTTATTACAAATTCTAAATCTAGATAAACGTTTCAAAGGGTCCTATCTGCTTTGATCGATTCTCTTCATCGACTTTCTCTTTTGATAACCAGCGCTCTGCAGGCAACGATTTTGCCGTTGTTCCTATACGATAGCACGATAGCTTACAGAGTAAAAAGTGTTTGAATTCTTTTGCCACAGTTTTCCGAGTGAAGTAGTTCTAAAATAAAACCTGAGCGAGACATAGGGTAACGGAGCCTATTTTCGGCCTATGCTCCTATTTTGGGCCTAACGCTAAAACTCAGGATTAAAGCAACGTTTGATGTTCCATACTCAACTCGACTGTTTGAGTCCATACAACGCTTTGTTCAAGCGACACACCATCGCATGGTTCTGACGATTTTCGAACATCGGGGGCTGCCCCATGTAGATTGTCTCCTCCAGATCTTCTTGTGGAAAAGCGGTGGCGGCGTCCATCGGTTGGATTCGCAAATCGTATCTTGCTGCCAATGCGAAAAGGTATCGCAGCGAACTGTGACGAACGACGGAAGAGTACGTTTCTTCAAAATCCACCCCTTTTGCTGCGAGAATCCTTTAATTACCAACCTCGCCTTGTGTCGGTCCACATTTCCGCTCGAATCGTGCTTTGTCTTGTATATCCACTTGCATTTTATCGCCTTCCTACCTTTAGGGAGTTCCGCCAGGGTCCAGGTACCGTTGCTGATCAACGCACTCCTCCTGCATGGCTACCTTTTTTCGACATCGGGACGCGACATCGCTTCTTGTGGCGTGACAGGATCGTTTGAAATGTCGATATTTACATTGTCGATCTGCTGCTGAGTCGCCAATCCACTAAATTGGCTCCGCACCTTACGCAACATCAGATTGAGAAGTCTGTGAGAAACGGCAACAGGGCAAGCCTTTGGTCAAAACTAGAAACTGATCATACTTGCCTGGGAGATTGTGCTCCCGACCGCTTCGGCTCAACGCCAATCACCCAGATGGATATGAAACTTGGTGCGGTTGGAGCACCGTCATATCAGTCACGGTGTCTGTTGAACTGCTGCTAACGTTGCTTAACGCTTCTTCGTAATCATCGTCTTCGAAGTCACTCTCGGGAATAATTGGTACCAACCGCTGCACAGTCTCTTCAGCATCCAGTCTGATCACCGTGCGACCTCCTCCTCGATCAGCTTTCAATTCACGACTTCGTTAATGAATCTAACATCCCGACTCTTGACAATCTTTCTGGTCTTCAGATCAAATAAACGATAACCCTTGGTATCTTCATCCAATCCTACCAAAATGCATGCTTCCGATTTTGCTTTTGGAACGTGAACCATTGCTTGTGTTCTGAAGATTCTAACGTGCGACAAATTCGGCTTTTTTCCACTCCAAAGCTCTTCAGGTGTGACATCATGTCCTCGTGTCGGTGAACGATTCAGGAGCCATTGACACAGCCTCTGCCCAAAAATGTTTGTCAAGGCTCGCCCTCTCAGCCAGTTCATTTGGTTCCGGATTGTAGCTATTCGTGGTTTGTATATTCCAACCCGTTGTCGGTTCGGATGATTTTGACCTTCTGTCCAGTTTGTCGCTCTGCCATCACCTGGAATTTTCTGAATGTATCCAGAACTTCGCCTTCCGACGTTGATCGCAGAAAATAGACAAATATCCGTCTTGACTTGTCATCCACAAACACTGCTTCTTCCTAACGGCTTGACTCCCATCGGACCACAGATGTCCGAGTGTACGACTTCCAACGGGAGGTCCAGATGCACGGGAACCCTTCTTGCTGAATGGTTGCCGACTGTGTTTTCGAATCACACATACGCTGCAATCGCTGTCAGTCTTTTCACTCAGTTCCATGTCATCAACCAGCCCATCCGCCATCTTCTTTAATCCCGCCAAATTCAGATGGCCCATTCGTCGATGCCAGATATCCAGGGACACAGCTAATGAGCATGCCAAACTGCCACTACATCGCCACTCGCATTCAGCACTCTATACAACCCGAGGGGGGCGACTCTATCTAAGATGCAGGAATTTCTTTGCTTTGCTGTTGTGATATGCACTCGCGCTAGATAGAAACACGATTGATTAAGATTTTGAAGATTTCCTGTAAAAAGGTGGAGAGCGATGCTGAGGTGGGTTTAGATGCAAGAGATGAAAAAAAGATTTTTCGTAGATTTATTTGCTAGTGTGAGATTTTTCGACCATTTTAAATCGAGATTTAGATGTGTCGCACCCCTCGATACCACCTTCATTTGCAAAAACCATGGTATATCCGTTCTTCACAATCCTGTTGACGGAAAGGAGATTCACTGATAACCAGGCTTGCTGAAACTCCTCAAACTCACTGGAGGTTTTAAAACACTCTTGTCCTGCGAGTTTAGCCAGCCCTCACCTCGAGTGAGTGGCGGCAGGAATATGGAAGAAGTAAACAAAAATTCCTCGAGAGAGAGGGAGAGTGAACTTCAGCGAGAGGATGATTTGACGTGAGGGACGCTTTTCGAGACTCCGTATGACTTTTTTTTTTTGCGACGCAAGAAGCTCAGAGTTCACCCAGAGTGAGAGTAAGAGCGTGTGATAGAAAACATGAATATGAATGGCAGCAAACCTCACTCTCATTTTATCCCCCTTCGCTCACAAGCTCTGAAGCTCAGTGGAATGATTTGCTACGCTTGGCTCATTTCAAACTCGCGAGTGAGGCTCCATCAAGCCTGCTGATAACTGAGGGCAGGGCTGGCAAATGTCATTTTCAATTGACTTCTCGACGCAAGATCTCACTCATACAACGTAGCTAGTGTAGCCGTGTAAAATCGATTTGTTTATTATTTTCAACCATAAAATCAGGTGTCAAAGTGTTCCACTTGACAGCGGTTTATTTTTTTTTTATTTTCAACCAGTAAAACGCATGTATTCGTGAAACTGGTCACAAATACTTACGGTGGTAAAGAACTCTATGAAAGATCTCACGCGATATAGAGATCTCCAAGCGCAATCTCACGAACACTAAAATCCAACATCCATATATTAAAATTAATAAGAAGAAGAACCAAAAAGGTATCGCGATATCACAACTACTTAAAAAGGTAGCGCGCGGTCTCACGCAGACTTGTGTGCATCTGGAGAACTCTATTTACTGAGACACTTCTGTCGGATGAAAAAACGATAACAGAGATTTTCTTCAAAATCTCATCGATTTTTTTTGTCATGCCACGTAGTGCTGTGATCACCGTGATTACTAGCTATTAAAGTTACTTGTACCAAGGAAATCTTAAAAATATATTCACTCTACCGATTACATATGGTTGCTT